GGGTATGAAGGGCCACCCACATGAGATACAAAAGGCTAGGTACCTTGCTGCATGCTTGTAATCCCCGCACTCCAGAAGTTAAGGCAGAAGGATCTCTATTTCAATGCAGGCCTAGCCAATAGGCATAGAAAGACCCCATCTCAAAAAGGCCTATGGGGGTCGGAGGAGGTGAACAGATGGCTTAGCAGTTAAGAGCACTTGCTGCTCTTACAGAGGACTTGGGTTTGGTTCCCAGTACCTACATGATGGCTCACAACTGTGAAACTCCAATTGTAGGGCATCGAATGCCCTTTTCTGGCCTCCACAAACACCAGGAATGCATATGATACACATACATACGTGCAGGCAAACACTCATATAGATAAAAAATAAATCTTTTTTGGTCTTTCTGAGATGGTTTCTCTGTAGCCCCAGCTGGCCTGGAACTCAATATGTAGACCAGGCTGGCCTTGAGCGCACAGAGATTCATCTGTATCTACCTTCCAAGTGCTGCTGGTATTAAAGATGTGCATCAACAGGCCTGGCAATCTTTTTTTTTTTTTTTTTTTAAAGCATACACAGCAGGCCTAGTTTGAGACCAGGACCTGATGTAGGGCCAGGAGGGATATGGGGGACACACCTGTTCCATTGTTAGAGGGCACAGGTGTATTCTATCTCCCTGGCAGTCATAATAATCCATTAAAATCAGAAATGAACAACTCGTTTTTTAAAAGAGCACAACACTGCATGACACCCCCAAATCCACACTGCTTCTTTATAGAATCTGTGGTGAGGCCTGGCCCAAATGGGTACTCCTGGATTCTAGTGACTGGCCCCAAGTTGTCTGTAAGGCCCCTGAGCTCCACACTCAGCTGTAAGTCTTACGGATCTTGAAAACCAAGCTTATAACAACGTGCTGAGGTTAGATGTGGCTTCAGAAGAGCACTTTCTAAAGTCCGGTGTGGCTACCCCTGAGCTCAGTGCCATAGCAAGGCATCTACATCTGCTCCTTTACCAGGTGAACTTCTGGTGTAGTGGCCCTTGCACAGGCTCGTGTCCAACTATGGGAAGTGGACACAGGTGATGGGGTCCTCACCAGTCAGTAAAAAGTGCTGTGAGAGTCAGTGGGTTGTTTTGCATTATGTCACAATTAACACAAACGAATGCTGGTCTCTGTGGCAGGCCCCTCATGGAGGAAGTGGGTTTTTTAAATTATTTATTTTTGTTTTATGTATGAGTGTTTTGCTTGCATGTATGTAAGTGCATCATATGTGTGCAGTTCCCCCAGAGGACATAAGAATGCATTGGACCTCCTGGAACTGTAGTTATGGGTGGTTGTTAACTGCCACATGGGTGCTGGGAACTGAACCCTGGTCCTCTGTAAGAGTAGCCAGTGCTCTTATCCCCTGAGCCATCTCCGGCCCTAGGAGGTGACTTTTTGGCTGAGTCAGTAAAGAGAAGAATGGGCCTGAGAATGGGTGGTACTGGCAGTTCCATGGAAGGAGATCCAGGGTGAGTGATGTCACTCACTGGAGTGATAGTCATGGGAGAGCAGGGAGGACATGAGAGACCTGACTCTTGCTAGCATTGATGCTCTCCTTCACTGACCCCCATAGCAGAAGCAGGATGAAGTGCAGTATTAGCACATGGCCCAGGGTGGAGTCCTCTGGGGCAGGAGGTTCCTTCTCCTGTGCCCTGAGGGCCTCTTCCTGTGTGAGCACCCTGGCCTGTCCTGAGATCACAGCCTGTGGCAAACGAGAGACACTGAAGGGAAGTATAGTGTCCTTTTGAAGACATGACTGGGTGACTGGCTCGGGAGCTGCTTGGGAGTTCCCAAAGTGTCTCCTGTTCATGTCTCCTTCAAGGCAGACCTTGTCCAGCTGCACAGAGGCAAGGCAGAGTACTTGGGAAACAGCTCTGAACCTTCCTAAAACAGGGTTATGCTCCTAAAAGGGAGAGATGGATTTCTAAGACCAAGGCCAAAAACCTGCTGTATTCTACCCTCAGGGACTTGACCCAGGGTAGTGGGGGCCATCAGTGCATTGTGTGAGGCAAAGCGGGGGTGGGAGGGTGGGGGGTGGGGTTGCGTGGTTTGATTGTGGGGGGTGGGTACCTGAGGCAGACTGAATTTGGCTCCGGAAACAGGTTAGTAGGTGAAGCCAGAGGACAGCAGGCTCTTGGCACGCTGTAATCTTTGCCAGCACAGCCAGAAAAAGGGCCAGGGGAATAAACCAGGGTGGTTGGTGTTTACACAGATATCAGTGGTCCCGTGGGAAGAAATGTAGCAGGACCCACTCAAGCAGATGACTGCTCCAGGCACAGTTCCACACTAGAGGTGAAAAACAGGCAGTGGCGAGGAAGTGTCAGGGGGTCTCCCACTGTCTTGGAACTCATGTTGGAGTGAGACAGCCAACTAAACATGCAAGACCACATCAGAGGGGGAAAGGTATAGATAGAAGACCAGACCATTTAAAAGTCCTAGGCAGATTAAATTTTGCTAGGATCAAAAGGGAAGCGAGAGATAGCTAGCAGAGAGCTACTTTGGGATACCCTGTGGAAGGTGAAAGGTGAGGTTGGCAAGGGTCTGGCCACGAAGCGTGTGGTGTTTTCTTCAGGCAGCAGCAGGAAACCACTGGGGTGTTTTCTACTCTGTCTTAAATCCTCAGGCTGCTTCTACAGAGAGGCCACATGGGTGTGGAGTTGGGATACAACTATTTCCATGTCTGCTTCCTGAGAGGGAACACAGCAAGCGTGAGATACCTGAAGCCTCTGTTCTCTCAATCAGGTCCCAGGAGGCACTTGTTCAAAATGGAGATGTCTTTGTGCATGTAAAACACACACACACGCACCCCCACCCCCACCCGCCAAGTGAGATTGTCCCAGCCTCCTCGTGACCCTCCTTGCTCCAGGTTATGAAAATTGACCTAAGCCCTTACCACCACGGAGCTTGTCAATAATGTTGATCTTGGACCCCAACCCAGCAACCAGTCTTCATTTCAACAGAATCCCTGACGCTTTGCTGCCATTCCTCTCCCGTGCTGTGTCTTCCTGTTAGGATCTTGAGGTCACTCTCCCTCTCCCTTTCCTTTCCTCTCTTCTCTCTCCCCACACAGCAGACACACACATTACACAGACACATGCTGCTGCTCCCATACACACTGAGTCTCCCTCCCTATATCAAACACACACACAGTGCTAAGTGGCCTGCCTGGACTGGCCCAGATTTTGGGATTCCTGGAAGATGGCAGACACTGTGTGAGCTAGACATTGAAGACTGAAATTTATTAGCACCTGTGGAGATTTACTTGGCGAGCAATAGCTGTGTGTAAATTGGTGTTGTAAGAAAATTAGCGTAGTGATAATGGGCAGGATATTGCAGTCACAAGACAGAGGAAAGCCTGTGGTGGTGGGTGGAGGTTGGCAGGCTGTGAACAGTCGTAAGCTGCAGTTGGACTGCGGGGATCCACTTTATGCTTGGCCTCTTGTGTTGGCCATCACTGTTCAGATCTTCTGTCGTACTGTCTGTTATTTTTGCAGCCCAGATTTAAAAGCAGCACCACCTGTGTAGACTCAGTGTGGGACGGGCCAGTCTAGGAGAGGCAGCGAGACAGAGCACGAAGAAGCCGCTGTGGGGAGTGTCCGGTGCCAGGACTGCTGGCCACCGTGGCTCTGTTTGTTCTTTAGATTCCATTTGTGAGCTGGCAAGATGGCTCAGCGGGTAATATTAACAGCTGCCAGGCTGACCTGAATTCGATATCCAGGACCCACATGGTGAAAGGAGAGACGGCAACTCCCACAAGTTGCCCTCTGACCTCCACATGCACACTGTGGCACACGTGCACCCACATAGTCAGTGCTTGCTTGTCACACACTCCAGACATGCTGTGTCGCAATAGGCAAAGGGGGTCAAGTCAGGGTAGCTGGGCAATTGATAGCACTTTGTTTTTAAATTTTTTATTTGTATGTATATTTATGCATTATTGTATATGTATATGTTGGAGTATGGAGGTCAGAGGATAGCTTTCTGGAATTGGTTCTCTCCACCTCTGTGAGGATTCTGGGGATTAACTCAGGTGGTTAGGCTTACACAGCAAACACTTTACCTACTGAGCCATCTTGTTGGTCCTTGATGGCGTTTTTGAGAAAAATATAGGATTTGGGGAGGTAGCTGGTTCTGAAGGGAGTGTGTCAAGTCTGTTTAGGTGTCCTGACTTCATCATTATCAAGTTGTGGACAGACAGAAATGGAGAGAATAGCCCCAGGTAGAACCGGAGGTGGCATTTTGTTTCACAAGCCAGAAATGATCTTCCTGCATCTAGTGACAAACTGACCATGCTCCATGACTTCCTGTTTGGGACTCCTGGGACAACAGCAGGCCAGTAGAAGTTTCTGGGGCTGTGATACCAGCTCAGGCCTCCATCCCTATGTTTAGCCATGGTGGATCCAACCTGGATGTGCTCTGCCCAACAGAGTCTCACTTGAGCTCAGCTGTGTGGGTTCTGGAGAGACTCCAGCCCCTCTGGGTAGCTGGTGCTGCCCTGCATACAGTAGCAAGAGCCAGCCTTGATGTCTGTGATACAGTCTAGGCTCCCAGGCTTCTCCGTGGGGACTTTTATAGCCTGCATTCACATATCACATTTGTGTGTGATTCATAAAATGAGTTAGGGAAAAGTTTTTACTTATATAAATTTTACAAATTTGAATTCATGGGCAAATAGGGGACAAAGCTGTGTTCTACCATCTTATTTGGAGGAGTTACCACTGGTGAAGTTCCATGCCTTTTTCAAAACTATGTTCTTTTCTTCCAGAGAAAACTTGTTTCACAGGTAGGGCAAGCTAACTTCAAGTTAGTTTTGTAAAATGAGTAAGGGCTGAGAGGTTAAGATTCCCAGAAGTCCAGGGAGCTGGCTGTGACATGGTAGTCAGTGACAGAGGAGAGGAGTGATGGCAGGCCCTGGCCAAACTCAGTCTCCAAAGAAGGAGCCTTGCAGTTTTAAATGCTTCCTGTGCTTTTATTGCAGATCATTAGAAAAGCCCTTACTGAAGAAAAGCGTGTCTCAACAAAAACATCCGCTGCAGATCTTGTAACAGAAACAGATCACCTCGTAGAAGATTTAATTATTTCTGAGTTGCAAAAGCGGTTTCCTTCACATAGGTAAGTGTTTTCCTCAGGAAACACACCCCAGCAACACTCACCACAGTCTTGGAGAAGGCCAGGGTTTAGCTGAGAGACACTGCAACTTGTCACTGAAGGGCAGATAAGGAAACCCTAAGTTGCCAGTCCAACCCCTGAGCCCTTCATTGTAGGGGAAGAAAATTGACTATTTCTGTTCTCTTTGCTGTTGCCTTGATGCTTGTTGATGATCAGGTCTGTTGTCTTCTTAGGATGACTATGAAAGAGCCTTCAGTTTTTAAAAAAATTTATGTGTATGAGAGTATTGCCTACATGCAAGTAGGCACATCCATGTTGTGCAGTGCTTGCAGAGATCAGAATAGGGTATTGGATACCCTGGAACTGGAGTTATGGATGGTTGTTAGCTGCCATGTGGGTGCTGGGAACCAAACCTAGTCTTCCTTAAGAGGAATCAGTGCTCTTAACTGATGAGCCATCTCTCCAGCCCCTGAGTCTTCACTTTTAAAATGTATTTTCTGCCAGGCATGTTGGCACACGCCTTTAATCCCAGCACTTGGGAGGCAGAGGCAGGTGGATCTCTGTGAGTTCAAGGCCAACCTGGTCTACATAGTGAGTTCCAGGACAGCTGGGGCTGCAGGAAGACCCTGTCTCAAAAAGACAAAAATAAAAAGTATTTTCAGAATCATTTTATTAGACTATTCCTTTGGGTTTCTTTTCCAGGAATAATCTTCCATGTACAGTCAGTAAATATGAGGTTTTTTTTTTTTTCATTTGTTTTTCATTGTATGTATCTGTTGTCTTAAAAATATATTACATTAGTTTCCTTTTTCTAGACATACAAGAAGAGATTTTTTATTTTATTTTATTTGGCCTGTTGTTTCTTTTTAAGGTTCTGTCAGAATTTTGTTTGTTCATTTATTTCCAAGTTTTTCATTAGCATATGTTATTGGCAATAATGGGTTTCATTATAATGTGTATGCAATTTGTTCTGATCATATTCACTCATTACTCTCTCTTGTCCCCCTTCCAGTCCTTTTGACCCCCTCCTCTTCCCAACTTGCTCCCTAGTCCCCCTTCTGTCATGTCTATTTGTGTGTGTGACCCAATGAGTTTAATTAGAGTTATTTGTAGAAATGTGGGTGTGGGGTTGCTTACCAGAGTGTGAACAGCACCTTACCAGTGGCCACACCACTGAAGACAATTTCCTTCCCCCCAGTAACCATTAGCTACCCTTAGATTCTCAGTGAGGGGTGGAATCTCCTGAGCCCCTCCCCCTAGCAACTGTTGACTGCCTAAACTTCTCAGGGAGGGGCAGGGCCTCCCTGGCCTCTTCCCACTCCATGATGGAATGTTGATGAACCCAAACTCATGCATGTAATTATAGTTGCCAAGTGGTTCAGGGTTCAGCAGCCATGTCACACAGAGAAGACAGCATTTCACAGCACTTCACCCATGCCTCTGGCTCTTACATTCTTTCCATTCCCTTTTCCTTGGTGTTCCCTGAGCCTTGGAGGGAATGATGGACATGGAGGCCCATGTAGAGCTGAGTTCTCAACAGTCACTTTTTCTCAGCACTTTGATTAGTCATGAGTCTCTTGCAGTAACTGTCACCAGCTGCAAAAAAGAAGTTTCTCTGCCCAAAGCTGACAGTAGCACTAACATATGGGCATAAGTATAAATATTTAAAAGGCAGTTTGGGGGCTGGAGAGATAACTCAGCAGTTATGAGCATTGGCTGCTCTTGCAAAGAACTCAGGTTCGAATCCCAGCACCCACATGGTAGCTAACAACCACCTGTAACTCTACTTGCAGGGGATCCGATGCCCTCTTTGTCCTCAGAGGGCAGTACCACTCATACACAATAAAATAATAAATAAATAAATAAATAAATAAGCCAGGCATGGTGGCACATGCCTTTAATCCCAGCACTTCTAAGGTCCATTTGATGTATTGTTTAATTCAGATGTCTCTCTGTTAACTCTCTGCCCTGTTGACCTATCTAATGGAGACAGTGGAGTATTGAAGCCCTACTATTACTGAGTTGGGATTAATTTGGGTCTTATGGTCCTGTAGTACTGTTTTTATGAAGTTGGGTGCACCAGAGTTTGGTGACTATATGTTCATGATTGTAATACCTTCTTGGTTTATTGTTCCTTTGATCAAAATGAAGTGGCCCTCTTTGCCCCTTCTAATAAGTTTTAGTTTAAAGTCTATTTTGTCAGATATTAGAATTGCTACACCTGCTTTTTTCTTAGTGCCATTTGCCTGGTATATTTTGTTCCATCCTTTCACTTTGAGATAGTGTCTGTCCTTGAAAGTGAGATGAGTTTCTTGCAGGCAACAAAAAGATGAGTTTTATTTCTTAATCCATTCACCTAGTGTCTTTTGAC